GGGGATTAAAAAAAAAGAACAATGTATTTTACAATGGAGGAGTACAGAGGATATTAGTTTTTAAACTTGATCTTTATTCTTCAGTGTGGCAAATATTAGCTAGTGTTTGGTCCTCAGCCAAAACATGCTAAATGTCTGAATGACACTGTGACTTGTTAGGTAAGTTTGGCCATCTTACAGTTTACTCCGCAGGAGTGGCAACTGATAATCTCTTAAAAGTGTCCAAAATAATTGGCCTGTCTGTTCTGTGATTCATTTGGGGACCCTTCCTGGGCATAACCACTGCAGAAGAGAAATCCCATCAAGGACACCTAGAAAGACCGGTTATCCATACGTGTTGTGGGGGTTGATGTCTTGTCTTCTCCAAAATTAAGAGACTTGGTTCTGTTTCTTCCCCGACCTACCCACACCCTGAACTCTATTTTCCCCTTGACTCACACAGTGAAATTGGAAATGCATCTATCTTTGAACCTGGAAATTTTTTCTTCAGTGGTAGAACATTTACATCAGTTAAACATGCAAAAGTCTGCATTTAAAGATGATTATTGCCTTATTACATTAATGATGCTCTTCAAAGTAAATACTATAAACATAGAATTAAAGCTTCTATATACAAATTATATTCTTTAGGATCCTATCTGTTCTATGTATTAAACAGAATGTTATTATGAGAGTAGCTGCACACATTAACTATTCACTCATACAGACGTGTACAAAGAAGAATCCTGGAATCTGGAATCCTGGTGTTGCTGCTTTTCCCGAACTCCAACCCCATGAAAGTTAGGTTGGGTCACAGCTATGGGGGCTGTTCCAATCATGGTTCCCAATAAACATGGCCTTCCTGCATCCAAGCCCTCGGGCCGTCCCCCCACCTCCTATTGTTGGGTTGACCACGATTTGTTTTGGTTGATGGCAATTTTGCAAACTTGATGCAATCGCAGGCTTAAAAGATGCCTGCACGCTGGGGCTTCTCCTCTCTTGCTTCTCTTTGGAGCCCTAAAACCCCCCTGTGGATAGTCCTGGGCCAGCCCCCTGGAGGATGAGCGACTGCGTGGAGCAAGATGAAGCCAGTCCAGCCAAGCCCCACAGACCAAGCCAGGCAATTCAAAGCACTGAAAGTGGGTTACTTCGACAACCTAAATAAAACTGTACAATGCCATGAAGTCAGGTGCTTGTATGATCTTAGGGCTTGTTTGCTTATTTTTGGTTAAAAGGCGAAAGAAAACTGAAAAAAATGAACATAACTTACCCCAGACCCCCATGAATACTGCAAAGACTAGGGTTCCAAAACTGTCAAAGATGCACAATTTCTGGAAAACACAATAATGACATATAAATGAATCACGTCCTTCACTTACTGGAGTTCAGCAAATACGCAACGCCTTGTATGTGCTACAGTCTGGGAATTTCTTTTAAAGCCGTTTCCTAGTTTGACAACCAGCATATCTACTACACACTGACAGATGGGATTTCTTATTTTCTTGAAAGCAAGCAGCCTTTGTTGTATTTACCAGAGTACATTTTCCAAAGGCATCTTTCCATATCATGATACAGAAACAGGCACAGCTGCTAAGATTCCACTCGGTTTAAAGCCTCTCACAGGCTTTACAGACTATCATGGTGGATTTGAGGAAACAGAATGGCTTGATGAATACAACCAACTCCAAGCAACTTTTAGATTTACGATTTGTACCTTACCATCCCACCCTGGTCAGAGCGTAAGTTCCTGAATTCCTCCTCTTCACGAAGCTGGGGTTTGTTTTGAGATGGCTCTCTCCCAGAAAAGCTCTCTCTCCCTCAGATCCAATGATGAGTTTTCTCCCGTCACTGACAGATGCTTCCATTAGAATAAGGGAGCACGGGCGCTTTTCTTGACTTTGCAAAGACGGCAGTGATCATGAATGTGCCAACTACAAACTGGCACTTGCCATCTGCCCCCCTACAAGGACTGGATCACGCTGGCGCTTGCCTTCTACCTCTGCTTGGATTAAGTCACGAGCCGCTGCAGCCTCTGACCTCCAATATCCTGAAAGGTGTTCAGGGTGGAGTTCAGGAATGAGCTGCTCTGTGCTCTGGGAAAGCTGGCAGAATGTGCCTTCAGTTAGATATTTTCAGGAGAAGACTTTATAAGCCCAAATTCTTCTGTCTCCTCATATCTAGAAAAGCACTAAAATTATTAAAGGTGACATCTGCTCCTTGTGACCAGCAGGAAGCCTCTGTCTAAATGTGTGCTTAACTGTATGCACCCCCTTCACTAAAATCATGTATTATACTGAGTTCCCCCCGCCTCTTCAGGGCAGCTCCTCAGAGCTATCTGAGATGCTGTCTCTCGGGCTAGAGTCCTCATTTTGCCCCAAATAAAACTTAACCCACAACTCTCACGTTGTGTGATTTTATTTGTCAACTGATGAATACATGACATACTCTGTTTACTAGTTCTGCTAAGTTTCATCTTTTTATTAGTGTACAAACAGTCTATCTCCCTCTACAAATGCCTGGAAAAATCTTTCAATTAGGTACCAATTTTTCATGAGTGAGCATTTTTATATCTCCTGAAAAAGTCCATAAAGTTAACGGAAAAAAGTAGCAAACAAAATATCAACTTTACGCTCGATCATATACAAAGTAAAGATCACATGGTAGAAAAAGAAGCTATAGGCTAAAAAAAAAAAAGCAAACTTTTCAATGTTAAAGAAAATTCAAAGCTGATTCTAAGGAAAACTACTTTTTTAAGGTAAACTTTATACTGATGTAAAACGGGTAAACATTCATCTATGTAAAATATTAGTTAAGTTATTTTTGTAAAACAATATCCACCTACCCATCTTCTCATACATCCTATTTCCAAAGCATACAGATGCCGCTCAAACTTCCACTTACATCCTGGGCAGAAAGCACAGTCCCAGATTGTCTGTCATCCAATTACTCCTCTCAAAACTCCAGCTCAAGGAAGACAAAATTAACACACAAGTGACCTCTCTTGGGAGCAATGCTCCCCACCTATTCCTTCAGCCCTGGGACTCCACAGAACACAGACTTCAAATCTTGCAGCCGCGACTCTCACGGAACCATCTTTCCTAAGTTGTCGTTTAATGTCATGCCTTAGCCCTTATTGAAAATTATTATAAGAAAGTCCTATGAGACACAGTTCTGCATGTTGTAATTTATTGAGGATTCTAATCCAGTGTCACTCTTTTAGGCATCAGTGCAAGCCTCTCTCTACTCGATACCTCCCTTCTTGCCCTGATACGTCTACCCACCCACTCCAGAAAGAAACAATCCTACTTGTGATTTCTTCACCCTATTAGGCTGAGAGGAAAAAGAAAAAGAAAAAGAAAAAAAAAAAACAACTGGAAGCACATCTGTCAGTGCTGGAGAGAAAAACAGGAGCCACAAGAAAAAGGAGGGTTTACTGCCAACGCCGAGTTCCTCCCAGCTGCCAGGCTCAAGACGAGAGGTGTGCCCTGCTCTCCGATGAAAGGGAGTTAGGGGGCCTGGATGGGGTCACCGTGTTTGCCACATGTGTAAGAATCAAGGAACCAAGAGAAAGAATAAGGTGGTCGACCTTTCTGCTCTACGTGCCTCAGAAGCAACATGGAGGCCAGAAGTAGGAGAGAAGATAAGCAGGGAGCCTTCTCGATTAAGACGCTGAGCTTGCCTCCTCGGCAGGATGGCAGAGAGGGAAAGCCAGCCGTGGTCACGACGGCCCCAGGCAGCACGCTGGTTCAGTCAGCTGGCTAGGACACGGTAATGGCAAGGAATGCCGATTTGCTGTCGGCCTCTGACTTTGTCAGTTACCAGGTGGGAGACCTTAAGCAGATTATTTCATCTCTCAGATCTCAGTGTTTTAATCTGTAAAATGGAGGTAACACCTCTTCTGCCTGTCTTACAGGATTGTTTTTTGTGTCAAAAGTGATAATACAGTCCAAGAATTTTGCTAAGCATAAACCATGAAGTGGCACCACTGTAATAGCAGTGTATCCAATTAAAATGTAAGACTTACATGGATTGAGTTTCTGATATGCTGAGGTCATAGAAAGATTCCTCAACTTTCATGGCAGAACTAGGGGATGAAGGAAAGATCAGGACAAGGGTGTCTACCACGTATGTCAAAGTTGTCAGGAAAACTCTGAACCAAGCGGACTACCTTTCTTCCTGTCTGGAGTTTCTGGCGTGCCTTTCAGTAAGCTCCCTCCAGTCTCAGTGCTTTTTCCTAAACCTCCTGGATTCCAAGAAGTCCTCTAGCTCAAGGCCATCTGCATGTTTAAGGGGAACCAGATGTGTGTTGTGGGAACATTTTTGAGACAAAGTGAATAACTTATCATTTGTAGACAAAAACTTTCTTACGCGTATTTATAAATTCACTCTAAATCTGACCAGCAGCGTCTTTAAAAATCCATGCAGAGTTTCAGCACGCTTTCAAAGAGGGAAAACACAGTACAAATTTCAGGTTTCCATCCACCTGAATTAAGGAAAATACTTACAATAGTAAACCTATTAAATAGTACTTATGAGATAAGACGGGTTTGAGATTTCTGCTTTGATTATTTGAAATACTCAAAATAGTTTCAATTCCACAGTTTCTCACTGACCCTCCAGGCAATTTTAGATAAGCCTTTTAATTTCAATTTGTTGTTTTCAAAAGAGGAATAAACACATGCATTTCGTACCTATCTTTTCAAATGAAATCTATCTTTCATATCTCAGTTGAAAATTACCTTTCTAAATTCCTCAGAGGAAAAAAAATTTAATCACTATGTTGTGCTAAAGTTATTAGAAGAATAAAAATCTTCCATTACTTGAAAATGCTTGGGAAAAAAATACCTTTGAGGACTCGCAAGTAGCATTGAGCTTCCAGAATGGACAAAGCCTGTCACACTGAGGACACATTATGATCTTGCCGCCAATATCAGGATCACAGACTTCTTTGCTAAAGAACAGAGAAAAATAAAATTTAATTTAAAAGAACTTTAATGAACAGGACTTTTCACCAGCAGGATAAAAATCCAACATCTGTTCATAAGAAAACGAAATTCTTGTAAAACTAGGAATAGAAATGCACTTCATTAACCTGATAAAATCTTGCTACATAAAACCTATAAAAAATCATACTTAATGGTAAACTGCTGAAAGTACTTCCTTTAGATCAGAAACAAGACGATGGGTCCTGCTATCCCCACTTCTTTGCAGTGGAGGTCCCTGCCAGCACAGTAAGTCAAGAAAAATAAAGATAGAAGGAATGGCAATGAAGAAAACCTGCTCTCCCTAACAGATTCCATAACTGTCGACACTGGACAACTCAGTAGAACCTGCAAATAAATTATGAGACTAAATGAGTTTAGTAAGTTTGCAGGACACAAAGTCAGTATACAACATATATACACGGTCACAAGAAGAAATTGGGTCTCGAAAGATCTACAACAATTAGGAATTAATTTTTTAAAATACCATTTTTCAATAGCTTAAAAAATGTGAAGAGCCTAGGAATAAATCTAATTCAAAATGTATGAAATTTATATGGAGAAAAATGATAAAACTGTTCTGAAAGAGTGAAGAAGACCTGTATAAATGGGTACATTATCATGCTCATAATTTGGAAGAATCAATATTTGAAGATGTCATTTCTCTCTTATTTGAGCTGTAAATTCAATAGACGAGCGTAGGGCTCAGAAGGGTCAAGACGCTCCTTAAGAACAAGGTGCTGTGGGGATGGATTAAGAAAAACCGACCTAGAGGGCAAAATCAGGAGTTAAGAAAAAGACCTCTGCATTCCCCAAAACTGACATATAACAGGCAGAGTTGGCCCAACAAACCAGTAAGGTGAGAACTGACATTTCAACAAACAGGGAATGGAATACCCATACAAAAAAAGGTGAAACTGAACCCCTAAATCCTACCATAGACAAACCAATTCCAGGTAGAAAATAAAAATGCAACAGTACCAACTTATCAAAAAAATAGATTATCTAGATAACCTGGGGGTAAGGAGAAATTCTACTAATGGAAAACAAAAAAGCATAAATCATAAAGGAAAATATCGATACACTGAAAATCCTTAAAAGTGAGAACTTCATTAAAACACCACAGAAAGGAAAAAAAAAATAGCCACAGACTAGTAGAAGTTTTGCAACATGTAAAAATGACCAAGAGCTATTCGTGAGAGCTGTTCTAAAAAATTCCTACAAATTACTAAGAAAAAAAACAGCGAACTGACAACAGGTTTGCACACTGCTCCCTGTAGGAGAAGCCATGCAGATGGACTCTTATGTGAATGGGGTTGGAGTTGTAGAATTAGTTAGCCTTGCAAATAACTCAGTTAAAAACAAATGCGCATGGGATACACGTCTAGATTATCTGAGTAAAGACCTTGGAAAACTTGCTCCTCTATAAAGCAATGACACTGGCAAAATTTGTCAAAATTAACCTCTGTAGAGCTCTGGAACTTAAACAAAGGCTTCCAGCAATCCAAGAAGTGTTTATTTGAGGGAAAAAAGCTAAATCTCCATAAGATAGTGAGCTTTGTGGCATTATAACTTGATCTATCACCATGTCCTCACCTAAATGGTGGCCTTTAGAAGCAACAGTCTCACAATCAGGGCAGCCGAACAGCCACTAAAGGGGCAGAAGTGGTTTGAAGTTGTACAAAAAACCCATCCCCAGTGAACTGTTGCTATTTGACCTATCTCAAACTCATGCTGTGCAAACAGCCCTATCCCCAGAGTGTTCGTTAAAAACAATTAGCAGAAATCATTTAATATTACAATTGCCTCAGGCAGTGGTACCAGCAGAGACTAACTAGATGCTGACTAGAAAACTTCGAGGCAAAATTGAGTAATGAGACATTCTAGGGGTGGAGGTAGAGTTAAAAAAAAGCTCCAAAAAATTCTGGGAATTGTAGAAGGCCATACGCATGTGTGGCACATGGCAAGGAAAGACCTGAGAAAACCTTAAGCCTTCAACTCTGGCTGACCTTGAGGTTCTGCATAAGTAAGAAGTAAAGGCTACGGAAGAGCTGCAGACTGCCTGCCGGTGCTGAGGGCATCCCTCAGCACGCAGACACACAGCCACCTGGCAACAGCTCAAACAATGATTGGCTCCAGGCATTTAGAGAAATCACTGTCCAATCGTTATTACAATGATGACAACCAGGCTTTCTGCACACATACAGATCTCATGGCCATGCATGATAAAGAATACAGACTTTACAGAATTTGCTCAGGAAAGTAACTAAATAAATTGCAGCAGCAGCAATGACAATGGAAGCAGCAATAAACCCTGAAGATGAGGAAAATCTGGCTTTCAGATCTGCCACGTTATAATATTTAAAATGCCCAGTTTTCATCAGAAAATGACAAGATACACAAAGAAACAGAAAAGTTTGGCCAAAACACAGGGGAAAAAGCAATCAATAGAAACTCCCTGAGGATGTCCAGACACTGGATTTACCACACAAAGACATGAATAAGCAATTATACATATGTTCAAAGAACTAACAGAAACCATGCCTAAAGAATTAAAGTATGTGAACATCTCATTGTACAGAGAATATAAATAGATAAAAATTATTTAAAAGAAATTCTAGAGATACAAAGAAAATGACTATAATGAAAAATTCACTGCAGAGTTTTCTCTGTAGATATGTACTGGTTGAAGAAAAAGTCAGCTAACTTAAAACTAGTGAGATTATCCAGTCTGTGGGAACAGAAAGAAAAAGGAATGACAAAAAATGAGCACAGTGTCAGGGATGGGTGGACACACACAATGGGAGCGCCAGAAGCAAGGAGAGGAAAACAAGGGACAGAAAGAATATTAAAAGAAAGAATGGCTGAAAAACTTCCCAAATTTGATGCAAACATTAATTTGTACCTCCCAGCAGCTCAACAAATTCCACGCAGAATGAACTTAGTTAGAGACATCCAAACACAGGCGTATCAGACTCAGTGTGTCAAAAGACAAGAGCAAAGAATCTTGGCAGCAGAAAGAGAAAAGTGACTCAGCATACACAAAGGCTCCTCAGTAAGACAAACAGTTGATTTCTCATCAAAAACCATGCAGGCCAAGGCAGTGGGATGGTATCATCCAAGAGATAAAAGGAGAAGATGGTCACCAAGTATTCTATATCCAGCAAAGCAATTCTTCAGAAAAATTAAAGAAGAAATTAAGACACTCTGAAAGAATCCATTGCTAGCAGGCCTGCTCTACAAGAAATACTAAGGATAGTCCAGCAGGTGTAAATGAAAGGACACTCACCTGAAAATATAAAGAGCACTAGTAGAGGTGACTACATGAGTGAAAAAATAGAACAGTATAAATATAGTTTTACAGGTAACTGTTTTCTCCTATTTGATGTAAAAGATAACTGCAGAAAACAATACTTATGAAACTGTGTGGACAGGCTTATAAATGCATAAAGATATAATTTGTATGACAATAACAGCACGAGGAGGAGGGACAAGACTGACACCAAAGCAAAGGTTTTGTGTACTACTGAAATTAAGCTGGCATTCATGTGAACTAGATTGCTTTAAAACAAGATGTCAATTATAATCTCCAGGGCAACCACTTAAGAAAATACCAAAAGAGAAGAAGAAGGAAAAAAGGTAAAATAAACAACAAATTAAAATGGTGTATTAGAAAATACCTATTTTGTACAAAAAAGGTAGTAATAGAGGAATGGGGGAAAAAAGACACAAGAATATAGAAAACAGACAGCAGATGTAACTTCAACATGATCAGAAATTACATTAATGTAAACGAATTAAACATTCCAATCAAAATACAAAAGGCAGAAATAAATGGAATAGAGAACAGATGAACAGAGAAAAACCAACAAAAAAGAGAAGTTGGTTCTTTGAAAAGATCGACACAATTGACAAATTTTTCGCTAGTACTGAAGAGAAAAAGAGAGAAGATTCAAATTGCTAAAATTAGAAATGAAAGGAGGGACATTGCTACTGACTTTACAAAAATAAAAAGGAATATAAGGGAATAATACCATGAATGATTGTATGGTCAACAAATGAGATAATCTAGATGAAATGGATACATTCCAAGAAGGACATAAATGACTGGAGCTAATTCAAGGAGAAACAGAAAACTCGAATAGCCCCACGGTAAGTAGAGTGACTGACTCAGTAATCCAAAAACTTCCCCCAGGGAAGTGCAAGGCCCACGTGAGTTCTATCAACTACTTAAAGAAAAAAAAAAATCAACGCTTCACTAACTTGTCTGAAAATAAAGAGGTGGGAACACTTTCCAATTCATTCTATGAGACCAGTGTTACACTGATACCAAAACTAGACAAAGGCGTCACAAGAAAACCACAGACTACTATCTCTTATGAATATAAATGCAAAAATCCTCAACAAAATACAAGCAAATCAAATCCACTAACACATAAAACAGACCACAATCAAGTGGGATGTATCCAGGAATGCAAGGGTAGCTCAACATATAAAAATCAATTCATGTAATATGCCATATTAATAGAATAATGGACAAAAACGAGGAATGGAAGAGAACTTCCTCAACTTGACAAAGAACGTCTATGAAAAACCTAGAGCAAAGATCACACTTAGTGGTGACAGACTGAATACTTTCCTCCCAAGATCAACATTGTACTAGAGGTTCTAGTCAAAGCAACCAGACAAAGAAAATAAATTAAAGCCTCTAGATTAGAAAGAAAGAAATAAAACTATTTCTATTCCAAATGACATGATATTGTAAATTGAAATCATAAGGAATCCACCAAAAAACCTATTAGAATTATTAAGCCAGTCCCCCATAGTTGTAAGACACAAATCAATATATAAAAAAGTAATTATATTTCTATACAACAGCGATGAATAATCTGAAAATAAAATGAAGGAAACACTTTCATTTATAACAGCATCAAAAAGAATAAAATATTTAGAATAAATCTGAGAAAAAAGTGTGAAACTTGTATACTGAAAACTATAAAATGCTATTGAGAGACGTTAAAGATGACCTAAAATAAATGGAAAGCTGTTCTGTGTTCATGGATCAGAAGCCTTATTATTGTTCAGACGGCAGTCGTCCTCAAAATGACCTATAGACTCAAGGCAATTCTGGCTTTTTTGCAGAAATGAACAAGATGATCCTACAATTAATATGGAAATGCAAGATACCCAGAATACTCAAAACAATTTTGAAAAAGAACAAAGATTTGAAGTTTCCAATTTCAAAACTCACTAACAAAACTACAGTAATCAATATAGTGTGTTACTTGCCTAAAGGACAAACAAACAGATCGACAGGAAAGAATTGAGAGTCCATAAACAAACTCTTAGATGTAGCCAATTAATTTTTGACAAAGGTGCCAAGACAATCCAATGGGGAAAAAATAATCTTTACAAAAATGGTGCTGGGACACCTGAATATACGCCTGGAAAGAAAGTTGAACCTTTACCTTATGCTGTTTACAAAAATTAACTCAAAATAAATCACAGATCTAAAACTCCAAAACTTTTAGAAGATGAACACTGAGAAAATCTTCACGACTTTGTAATTACAAATGCTTTCTAAGAAATGACACCAAAAGTACAAGCAACAGAAGAAAAAAAATCAGGTAAATGGAACTTCATTAAAATTAAAAACTTTTGTGCTTCAAAGGACATCAAGAAAGTAAGAAGACAGTCCACAGAATGGGTGAAAATACTTGCAGTATTTTTCCCTGATAAGGGACTTTTATCCAGAATAGACAAAGAATACTGAAAACTCGACAACACAAAGACAAATACAATTCTTGTGGTAGCTCACAGCGAAAGGGAATGTGACAATGAATATATGTATGTTCATATGTGGCTGAAAAATTGTGCTCTACGCTGGAATTTGACACAACATTGTAAAGTGACTATAACTCAATTAAAAAAAGGTTAAAAAAAAGAATAAATGTAAAAACAAAAATTAAAGAAAAAGACAAATACAATTGAAACAGGCAGAGAATTTGAATAGATGTTTCTCCAAAGACGACATACGAATGGCAAATAAGCCCATGAAAAGATGGTCAGCAT